TTATTTTTTAATTTAAGTATACAAAGATAAATGGTCACTTCCCTCATGTTGCTTAAGATCTGCTATGGGAGGTATCACAGATCATCTGGGAGGGCATAGTTTGAATGTCAGCTCTGTCATTTGTTTGTTGTGTGACTTTGGGCAAGTGACTTAGCTTCTCAAAGTTTTTGTTTCTTTATTTATAACAGGGAGATAATGAGATCATCTGCCAGGGTTGTTGAATTATTAGAAATTGTGTATATAAACTAATAGTGTACAGTCACAAAATGCAGTCATTATTATTGCAGAGCAATTACAATTTAAGGCAGAATGATCAAGAAAAGATCCTAGATATAGCAGGTGCTTTGGGAGCTAAAAAATCTAAGATCAAGGTGCCAGCAGATTCAGGTCTGATGACAGCCAGCTTCCTGGTGCATAGACAGCCTGTATTCTCACTGTGTCCTCACACAGGAGAAACAAAGAGGTAGCTTTGTGAGGTCTCTTTTATAAGGGCTCTAACCTCATTATGGAGGGCTCCACCCTTATGACCTAATTACCTCCTAAAGCCCTTACTTCCAAATACCATGATATCAAGGGTTAGGTTTCTACATATGAATTTGGGGGAACACAAACATTCACATCCTTAGATATCTACCCACTGTTGTGCTTCTTCTAGGTTGAGTAGAGAACTGAGCTAATGTATTTCGAAGTAACGGGAGTCTGTAAGCAGAAATCAGAGATATAAATATTCCCACTCTATTTGGTGCCTATAGATAGATCTCAGCCTCAGCCATAAGAGTTCCTTAAAATTGCAACACACAAGTAGTCTTTTAAACAGCAGTTATTTTGAGACATTCCAGCCTGGAGCCAAAAATGATCTACCACCCAAGAAAGGAACTCAAAAGACCAACACCAGTGACAGCAAATCACCACAATTAGAAAGAAAAAAAAAAAAAAGGACCATGCAGAACACACACATACAAATAAACTCAGAGAAATAATCTGTCCATTTAGGAAAATACTGAAGTCTGTTTGTGGGGGAAATGTTTAGAATAAAGACAGAGGACTAAAGGAGTTGAAAAAGACCAAAATCAAATGAATCATGGAATCTGTAAACTGGTATCAGATGTTCTGTAGTCATAGAGCCATGCGAGATTTCAAATTCTTCCAAATAAGGTAGCCCCAGCCAAAGCTGCTGCTCTGAAAGACAACAATTTCCTCTTTCCTGATTGTCTACCTGGTTTAGAACGAATTGATTGTTTTCAGAACTAATGCATTTATACATACAAGATTAGAAGGACTGTGAAGAAGTTTTCTTTAAACACACACACACACACACACACACACACACACACACACACACCATTTCTACCGAGTCAGACTTTCCACTGTATCAGCTGGAAGAAAGGGTAGCACAAATCTAAGAGAAAAAGCTGTCTTTGGTTTCATTTGGTGGTCAGGGAGCAAACGGGATTTCTTTTCCCATTGTAACATAGGAACTGGATTTCAGTGCTGCTCCTCTGTCATATGCATAAAGGGGGATGCCAAATATCTCACAAAGAGAATTTTCCAGAAGGTGCAGAGATGGTCCCTAGTTAGCCTATGAGCTCTCGACATACACACAAAAAGCAACTACTTAAAGCTGAGAGTTTGAATTCAAGAAACTTAAAGAGTCAGACAATTCCAATTGTTTGTTGACAATGATGTGAACAGACTGGAAATCTCATACATTGCTGGTGGGAATTTAAAATGGTGCATCCACTCTACCCGGCCAGGGGAGGGAATGGGTTCTTGCCATCTGCGGCGGCATGGATGGACCTGGAGGGTGCTGTGCTGAGTGAAGTGTCAGAGAAATACAGATGCAATGTGATTTCACTTATGTGTGGAATCTAAAGAACAAAATGAACAAACAAACAAAACAGAAACAAACTCATAGATAAAGAGAACATTTTGATGGTTGCCAGATGGGAGGGGTGTTGAGGATGAGCGAAAAAGGGAAAGGGATTAAGAAGTACAAATTAGGGCTGGCCAAGTGGCGCGATGGTTGAGAACTGGCTTGGAACGCCAGAGGGCCCCGGTTTGGATCCCATATATGAGGGCCAGTGACACTGCCCTCTACAGCTAAAATGCTGAACAACAGCTCAACCTGGAGCTGGGCTACTGTGAGTCGCCGGCGACAGCGTAAGCTGCAGCCCCTGTGGCAGTGGGTTGCCATGGGCTACCATATGTAGCCAGCAGCCAGCATGAGCGGCCAGCAGCCAGCATGAGCGGCCGGCAGCCACTCTTTAAAAAAAAAAAAGAAGTACAAATTAGTTGTTACAAAGTAGTCATAGGAATGTAGGGTCTAGCATAAGGAATATAATCAATAATATTGTAATAACTATGGATAATGTCAGGTAGGTACTAGGTTTATCGGGGTGATAGGTGGGAGGGGGTTTGGCGGCAGGGTGAAAAGGGTGAAGGGGTTAAGAAGTACAAATTGGTAGTCACAAAATAGTCATGGGGATGTAAAGAAAAGCATAAGACATATAGTCAATAATATGGTAATAACTATGTATAGCGCCAGGTGGGTACTAGTCAGGGGGATCACTTCTTTTTTTTAAGATTTTTATTGGGGAATTGGGGGGATGGGAACAGTGCTGGGGAATTGGGGAAAGGGAACAGACAAGTTGCTGTCGTTTTGTTCTTCAGTCTAGTTGTGGAGGACGTTGCTTCACTGGCCCAAGTTGGCACCATCATTGCGCTCTTCCCGGGCGAGGCAGATCAGTCACCGGCTTCTGGACCGCCGCTCACTGCAGCTGCTGGCCGCTCACACTGGCTGCTGTCTACATATGGTAGTCCATGGCTACCCACTGCCACAGCGGCTGTAGCCTACACCGTCACTGACGACTCAGTTGACGATTCACGGCAGCCCAGCTCCAGGTTGAGCTGTTGTTCAGCATCTTAGCTGTGGAGGGCAGTGTCACTGGCCCTCATATGTGGGATCCGAACTGGGGCCCTCTGGCGTCCCAGGCCAGTTCTTAACCATCGCGCCACTCAGCCGGCCCAGGGGGATCACTTCTTAAATTGTATAATTAACCATTATGCTGTACATCGGAAATGAATATAAAATAACATTGAATGTCAACTGTAATTGAAAAAACAAAGAGAGGGAGGGTGAAGGGCAATCAGAGGTCCAAATGTCCAGGTATAAATCAAACAAGTCATGGGGCTGTAATGCACAGCATGGGGCATATAGTCAGTAATGTGATAGTGTGATATGGTGTCAGGTGGTTGCTGGACTTACTGTGGTGATCACTTCTTTAGATATATAAATGTTGACTAGCTAGGGCATACACCTGAAACTAATATACTATTGTATGTTAGCTATATTTTTAATAAAAAATATTTTAAAAAGTTAAAAAAAATAAAATGGTGCAGCCACTTTAGAAAAGAATTCGACAATTTCTTAAAATGTTAAATATAAATTTACTATATAGTACAGCAATTTTATATCTAGGTATCTACCCAAAAGAAATGAATACATATGTCCATGCAAAGGCTTGCATATAAATGTTCACAGCATCGTTATTCATAATAGCCAAAAAAGTGAAAACCATCCAGACTTTCATCAAGCAATGAGTGGATAAATAAAATGTGGTATATCCAAACAATGGAAGAGTATTCTGTAATAAAAAGGAACAAAGTACTAATACTACAACACAGATGAGCCTCAAAAACATCATGCTAAGTGAAAAAAGCCAGTAACAAAAGATCAAATATGATATGGTTCCATTTCAATGACATGTTTTGCTATGCAAAGCTATAGAGACAGAAAATAAATTAGTGGGAGCTGAAACTGGAGTTAGGGATGGGGATTGACTGCACATGGGCCTGAGAGATTGATGTGACCTGATGGAAATGCTCTAAAATTGGGTTGTGATGATGGTTGTACAACTCCACATATTTTATAATGATCATTGAATTGGACACTTACAGTGGATGAATTTTATATGTAAATTACATTCTACTAGATGATTTAAAAAAAAATGGAATACTCACAGCAACCCAGAAACAACCTTTGTAAGTAAAGAAAATACAATTTTGTTCCAATTAGGTAGTGGAATTATGATTTCTTTGTTTTTATGTACTTTTCAATGGAAAAAAATGTCTTTTCAAATCAGAAGAAAAAAATTAGGATAATTTAAAAAATTATCCTTTGAGAGTCAAACATAAAAACTCTGCATGATGGACCAGAGGAGAGCTATGTAAAGTCACCTTGATAAAGAGACAGAATGGCTCTCAGGACCGAAAGATTTGGAGTCACCTGATTAAAATTAATAACACATCTAAAGAAAGAAGAATCAATCAGCAGAGAACATTGATCAATAAAGAAAGCAAAGAGAAGGGACAGCTACAGAAGCAATCACCGCAGGGCCTAACCAATGCTGTTGCAGCAAGGCTGAAGATTGGTCACTGAGCGAGTACACCCAACCCCAAGGTGGAGAGGGACTCCATACATCGAATAGAGCTTCAGGCCATTAAAAATCCTAAGTGTGGTAAAACTGATTTGACTTGTTTTCACTGCATGCTCACCACGTACCATTTTTCGAAAAATTTTTTCCCCAAGTAATTTTATGTACAGAGAAAGCCTAGTCATATTGATAGATTAGGAATTTATACATATTCTGGTTTATATACTCCAGACTCCTGAGGTTTACTCAGTGTGAGTTGGCTTATCCAAGTTAAAGCAACTGTACAGTAGAGGCAAGAAGGAAACTATGCACCTGGAAAGCTGAAAGAGGCAGTGGACTGTGGTGGGCATCAGGATAAATGCCAATTTGTAATACGTCTTGGAAGCCAGCCACTTAGCCTAACTTTCTCAGTGACAACCCAATTTTGACGAGACTTCTCATTCAGACTTCAATATCTAGAAATCCAAGACACCAAGACATATTAAAATTACAGTACATTCAGCATATTTTTTAAGAAGCCACTTATGCGAAGAATTTCAATTATTTAAATCTTGCACTTACTGAATCCAGATCGATCCAGCCATGGCAATGATAATTCTGGTACCAGCTGGTTCAGTTCCACCCTCATCATAAAACGAGTGCTGTTTAGATAGGGAGCTTCTTTCCAATGACTTTTGGTGATGGTGATGCTGGAAAGAGTCTGTGGCTCTGTACCAAAGTCCTCTGCTTCTGGGGACAATGGAGCTTATTTGTTAGAGCACTGAGCTATCGTGTCCTACAATACGTAGGCACTTTGCCTGACGGACCTTCGTCCTGGTGCATAATTTCTACTCTTATTCCCATATGGGTCTTTGAGGCCACGCCTCTCTCCCTAATTCCTGTCTTCCTTCTACCTCCTTCTATACCTACCTCACCCCTCCTCCCAGTTGGACCCTGGTAGTATCCCCAACCTGACCTAGATGATTTGATTCTGCCACTCAATGCTCTGAACCACCTTTTCCTAGAATAATACTCAAAGTAGTTCTGCAAATACTACAATTCAATTCTGAAGCTAACCAACCACAGTTAGCATCAGATTCCACAGGTTTAAGGGAAATCCCCAAAAAAATTGCACTTAAGGCATTTCAAATTTGGGAGTTCCTACTATCCCTTCAGGCTTGATAATTGCTAGAAAGGCTTTTAGAACTCAGACAAGATTATGATTACAGTTTCATTGTAAAGGATACAAATTGGGACCAGACAAATGAAGAGACACATAGGGTGAGGTCCGGGAGGGTCCCAAATATGGAGTTTCCATGTCCTCTCACCATGGAATGAGGACATGTAAACCTCCTAGCACATCTATGTGTTCATCAACCAGGAAGCCCCCCAAAAGCCTCTGTGTCCAGAGTTTTTATTGGGGTTTCATTATGTAGGCATGATGGACTGAATCATTGGCCAGGTGAGAAAACTCTAGCTCCAGTCCTCCTCCTCTTCCTGGAGGTTGAGAGGTTGTTTAATTTCATTGTGGCTCAAACACTCAACTACCTGATCACAGGGTTGGTCTTTTGGTCGTGACCAGTTTCCATCTGAACCATCTCCTTAGCATAAACTCAGATGTGGCCCAAGGGCCACCGTGAATAACAAAGACACCGCTATCACTGATGCAATTCCAAGAATTTAGAGTCTCTGCTCAAGGAACTGGGGGAAAATGCCAGTCAGATTTTTTATTATACAACAGTTGGATATTGCAGTCACCTAAAAAGCTTTTTAAACAAATGTTCATGCCTGGATCCCACCAAGAATTCTCATTTAATTGGCCTGGGGTGCATCCTGAATATAAGGATTTTTAAATTCTCCTCCAGATGATGCTAACACTCTACAGGCTGTGCTGCTGGCCCCAGTTTATCCCCTTTGTTTGAACTTCTAGGATATGTGTGTTCCTCCAAATTAGACTGGAATTGCTGTTCTAGTTACTGGAGCTCTCAACATTCTACATGGCTAGGGCCAGACATATTATGATCTAGGTCAGGTCTAGAGTCTCTGTGTCTCACAACTTCAAGTGGCCCATGTATAGCATAGTCTATGTGAATTGCCCTGCTAGATGTATGCAGCATACACACTCCACTCCACAGGATGGCCATGTCTTAATCTAGTCACCACACATCAAGTTTGCATCAAGCAAATTTTCCAAATGAACAAGTCGCAGGTTAATCAATTTTACTGACTTATTAATTAGCTTTACAGGAATATTTTCACATCTCTATCAGCTTTACATTTTCATTTCAGATTTAAAACCATCTAAAAGAAATCAGAATTTAGCTAAACCAATTCTGTATATTAAGAAATAAGTATGGGCTGGCTAAGTGGCTCAGTTGGTGAAGAGCGTGAGCTCTGAGCAACAGTGTCACCAGTTCGATTCCCACATGGGCCAGTGAGCTGCGCCTGACCTGAGTTGCCGCTGAGCTGCCAACAGGTGGCAGAATGGCTCAGCTGGTGAGAGCATGTGCTCCTAACAACAAGGTTGCTGGTTCGACTCCCCCATAGAATGGGGGACTACACCCACCCACAACTAAGATTGAACATGGCACCTTAAGCTAAGCTGCCCTGAGCTGCCCATGGACGGCCAGATGGCTCAGTGGTTAGAGTGTGTGCTCTTAGCAACAAGGTTTCCAGTTTGACTCCCACATGGGATGGTGCATTTCTCCCATCTGCAAACTAAGATTAAACAGGGCACCTTAAGCTGAGCGGACATGAGCTGCCAACAGGCGGCCAGATAGCAACTGGATTTGGAGCTGAGCTACAATAGCTGTGCCCTCCACAACTATGATTGAAGGATAACAACTTGGTTGTTCCCCTTCCCCAGTTCCCCAACACTGCTCCCCTTCCGCAATTCCCCAATTCCTTAATAAAAAAAAATCTAAAAACAAAAATTAAAAAAGAAAGAAAAAATATAAGTATGGACTAAAAAATTCCCATATGAAATACTGAAAATCTGAGAAACCAAACATTTTATAAAAGCAAATAGTAAATTTAATATATCAGTTTACTATATACATTAGCTATTGGAATTGGAATTCTGCAAATTATTTTCTTGGTTTCTGCTTACAATTAGCTTCCATCCTGTAAACATTTGCTTTTGTGAGAATGAGTTAAACCCTAAGATGTTCCAGTGAACAAAATTCAACTTGTAAATTTTAAGATTCAATTGTTTTATTAAGCAATTCATAAATCAGGCAACATGTCATCTAGCAACTAGAAGAGTGACCAAAGGAGTTGTACAAAATGGAAGACTTTTATAGGAAGAAAGAAGGATGGGGCAAGGGAACTAATACAAAAGAAGAGAAATGATTGTTTTTTTGCTAGGACATCTTTTCTTTGGGAGAAGAGAATAGGAACATATGTACATTGCCTCTGCTTTCTATGGAGAACAGGAGAGGACCCAAGTGACAGATCACCTTACTGGTGCTTGACCAGAAAATCCCAGACTGGTTGATTAACACTACGTTTATGGGGGAGGTGAAATTGCAATTAGATCAGGCATTACATCTAAGTTTGGATTCATGGGCTTTTAGTGTGAGTGATGCCATTTTGGGCTCCTGGTTTTCTCTTCACCACCACCACTTCCTTGTGTAGCATGCAATTAAGAGAGTGCCTTTCGAATGTGTTTAAAATAGAAACGGCAGGAGTACAGATGAGTAAAACATGAACCATTTCTGATGAGCCAAGTTTTTTTCCCAAAGGCCTGGGAGGTACTCGTGAACAATGAACCAAGAAATTTTTGCAGTAGAAAAATAAATATTTTTTTTTAGCAGAACTTGACAACTAATGTTGGGGTAAGAAGTTGTATTTGACATTAAGGCCCTGATGCCAGTACATTTCCTGAATGAAAACAGTGATTGACTTTATGCATATTACACTTAGAAAGTCAGTTCAAGGTTCGTATGTGGACCATTTTTTGTCCATCCACCTAAGGAAAAATAATTTCAGGAAGCTTCTCTCTTTACCTCAGACTGCAATAGGAAACGATGTTTAGCAAACTTCTTTTTCTGCCACCTTGAAGGTTAGGGGATTCGAATTTGTAATTATGATTGCATTTTAAGTTACCTAAGACAATTGCTAGTGAGGTAAAAATGACTTCTAAAAACAAACCAAATCAACTGAATAAAAACTACCCTAGCCCTAGCATTGAAGGTTCACTCTGAATTTCAAATCTCTAGTTTTCAGTTTATTTCTGAGTTTGTTGATGAGCTAACCAACCCTGAGGTTTAACCCTGTAAGACTCAATAAAAATCCTCATAAATACATAGCTATGGTTGGCAGTCTTTAAAAAATAAGTGAAAATTTTCCAGCTCATCCCGCAGTCCTTAATTATCTGATACTTTTAGAGGATCTAGAAAGACGGAGTCGAAGTTTAGGGTTCTGAGCAGTCGGTTTCCAAAATGTCATTCAGGCGGGCTAAAGGTGCATATTAGTTGGCTTTTACACCTCCTGCTCCTTCTCAAGAGAATAAATAATTACAGTGATTTATCTTTGAAAAGTGCAGCTTGGAGTTGGATGTAGAGAAGTCACATAATGGTGTCAGCGCTTCAGCCCAAAGTAAATAAAATGGTGAAATATATTTAGCAAGCGATAACGCAAGGCACTGAAAAACAGAGATAAAAAGAAGAAACTGTCTTTACATGATTAGAGAACTTTACAAACTACCAACCTTTTGCAAAAGGAATATAATTATAGAAAATACAAACAGTGGGAAAAAACAGGGATTCTACCAAGTTCCAAATTTCCATCCTAATTCTAGCCCCCCAAAAGGCAGGTCAGTTTCTCAAGCATTTTGCCTAGATTCCTTCTCTCCCAGGGTACAGCCTCCCTCCTTATGATAAGCGCTCAATCTTCGATACAGTAGAGTAGTTGCTTAGATCTCGAGTGCTTTTGAGGCTAATGTGAATATTCAGGCTAGTGGCACCCGTTAGTGGTGCCCTGCCTTTCCCAGGTACCCAGAAAAGGGACTTTGGCAGGACTATGGTACCTGCCATAAAGGAAATTTCACCCTCCAAGAAAGGCTGCTTTCCGGTTTTCTCATTCCTGTAACATAGGCTGGGTTTGCACACAAATATTAATTGGTTTCAAAGGACTTGAAAAAGTCCAATCAATCAAACAACTGACATTTTAACTGACTTTGCCATTGAACACAAACAAAAAGCAGCCAAATTCGTTTGTGTGCTGGACATAACCTTGGATAGTCTACACACAGAATCTCGGCCCCTCCTCCTGCCCGCACCCCTCCCCAGCCCCCATCCTTGCCACCTGAAACTGCTCTTGTATTGGCCATCATCAGTGACCTCCTAGTTGCTAGATCCAAGTAACCTATCAATTCACATCTTATTTCCCAGATCACAAGAAGTTGATACTGTTTACCAGTTGATCAAGAAAAGACATTGATGATGTTTGTTTTTTCTTTAGCATCTCTGAGCACTCTTTCACAGTCTTCATTGGGCGCTCTCTTTCTCCACCTGCTGTGTAAAGGTGAGCTTTCTGCAGTACTTTATCAGAGACCCTCTTCTCACTCATCTCCTTAGTCTTGAATAACTGTATTATTCAGTGCTTTGCTTTCCTTACCACCTCTAAGTTGCTGATGCCCATCTTATATCTCTAGACTGTCCCTCTCCTGTGTTTTAATCTCATACACCTGAGGATCCTTGGGGAAACAGAATGAGAGGATCCAAAGAGGAGGAACATGTTAATGGGAC